ACAGCTGTGCAACTGAAATAAAGAAAATGTTTTGAGGGAGTAGAAGCTTTGCTTTCCAAAATGAAAGGCATTCTAATCCAGGATTCCTGACCTAAAAAACATAATAACCTGTAACTTAAAGTTGTAAAAATGAGCTAGGCAATGTTAGAACATATTTTCAAAGCTGTCAGAACAGCTTTCTTTAATTAACAGTACTGGAACCTTTAGCTTCCAGATCCATTCTACTCCTGCTGTTCAGAAGCTGTTCATCAAATATTCCAGGATACTTTATTGTACAAGAGACAAACAGTTGAATGTTCAGTTGCTTATTGCCAGTGATTAAATGTTCCAGAGACTATCGTGAGTGAATATACACTTGTGGGATATTGGTGAAGTTGTATGCTTGCGGTCTTGTGCTGTAGTTTTTGTTTGCTGCTTGTTAAAGATTTGCTTTGGCAAATAGAACTTGAAAACAGTAATTTTGGAAATACCTTGGCTGGAGCTTCTGCCAGAAGAACAACTGGCTGCTTAATCCTTGGCTTATCCTCACCCAAGTTCACAGTGGCTGCATCTTCCAGCCTGGGGAGCTGTCTAGATTAAACTTCTTTGTTGTGTCTTTGTGCTAGAAGGAAAAGGTGCACTCCCTAGCGCAGTTTACTCTATGGCCTCGCAAGTGTGCATGCAAAATGGGTGTGCAGGGGAAGATGGAAGTTTCATAGCAATGATGCTGGCACCAATATTTTTTCCAACTTGGTAGAAGTGTGTATGGGATCTCATGATGGCCTGTTTATCGGACAACACTCGCACTTTCAGCACGTGTGGTATTAGAATACAGTAGTGCTAAGGACAGCTGTGTGTACCACAGCTGACTCAGTGATAGAAGAAACTTCTATTAGTGATACCACAAAATGAAAAGCTTGATTACCTGAAGTGAGAGGCACATCGGAGACAGAGTGACAGACTGGCTTGAACGTGTTTGCTCAACTCTGTGGGGTAAGGAAGGAACAAAACTCATAGGACCTCCAGTAGACAGTTCTTAGGCCGCTTTGCTTGGTGTTGTAATGCTAGAAAGTGTGTGGCAGCCTTACAAAATCTGCTGGTCTCTGGCATGGATTTGGAAGGATGCTGGCAAACAAAACCAACAAACAAGCAAAAATCCCTTCTTAGTGTGCAAGTTTCTTTCCTGGCACTGCAACTCTCATCTCAAGTTACTGGCTCCTATTGTTGGATTTACTAAGGTTGCTTAACAACAGTTGTGTAGGTGCTGAGACACTTTAATAGTATTGAGAGTAGGTTTGGTTTACTGTCGGAGCTATTGTGCTAAAATAATAGCTTCACAATACAATGTAGCTATATAATAGCTTCACAATACAGTACAATAATTCCTTGTTCTCCACTGGGTTGTCAAGGTTTAAACTCCTATCAGAAAAGGTTTATTCTGGCATAGTGCTATGCATGCAGGATTGAGAGGTAAGAGGAGCTGTCGTCTCTGCCAAAGATTTTTGTGTAAGTCAACGCTTGTTTACTGTGTCTGCATCATAGAGAACTAATTGATATCTAATGCTGAGCTACTGTTCCTCCTCTGGGTAAACAGCAACCATTGGAAATGATTGATTTTTCCCAGTGTTGTTAAAGCTTACTGTGAGGTGCATGCACTGTGAAATTTGTATTTGTTGCTAGCATGTTTAATAGTGGTTTCCTATAGTAATTTGCGAAGAAGTCTGAAAAACAGAACTTGTACTCTTGATCCAGTTCTCATGACTTCCTTTTAGATCAGTTCTTGAGGAGTTGTCTTTTGAGAAACTAAATATGGTGAGAGATGCTCTTACTTACATTCCATACAATGCCTGGCTGAGCCAAGGAAAGAGTTCTAGTTGTAGTGTAAGTGGGTGAAAAATGTGCTTAGTTTTGCTTGCCTATTTGTGCCGGGCAGTAGCCCAGCTCTTCCAGCTGCCTGGCTGGGTAACCTTTCAGCACCTTTGAGTGCGAGTCTAGTGATGTGTGGAGGCTTCTGAGGTCACAGTAGCTTCTTATTTTTCACTACGTTATTTGTCTTATTGACTATGGGGATTGTGGGAGAAAACTTGCATTTTTAATATATATTTGAAGACGATTTCTCATGAATGCCCAGGCTCTGTTTCTTCAAATGGCAGTGAGCATGTGTGTTTGCAGAGCTGCTGCTGATTCCAGTGGACAGGCCTTTGTAAAGGCCCAGTGACTCAGGGCTGTTCCCTTCCCCGGGGCTGCCCGTAACTGCAGTCCCCAGGCATTTTGTCTCCCAGTGACATGCTCAGCATAGTTTTAGAAGCTGGGTTTATTTGGAGAACCTGTGTCTAATAATGGATTGCTAACCTGTTGGCTTTCCTGTTAAGGGGCTGCAGCATGTAAGGCTGCATTGTAAAAGGTCAGGAACTGGCATCACAACTCTGGATGTGCTGTTGCAGTTGGCTGATTTGGAAGTCACAAGCTGCGTGTTCAGTATGTGTTCTAGTGCAGAAATCAGGCAGCACTTAATGGCTTAATCCTGCAAAGCAATTGTTCCAGGTTTAAATCTCTCTTTTTCAAAGGAAGCCAATGCTGGTGTTCTGGGAAATATTGATTGGATCAAAGCTAGTGTAATGAGTGCCCTCCTTGAACTGCAGCCTCAGTTTTGGTCTCTTTGTTTTGTTTGGGGCTATTTGTGGAAACATCAGTGTTGTCTATGGTGGGATTTCCTGGGCCTGAGTTCCAAAACTAGGCTGGGTGTAATGTGTGTGCAGTAAGTCACTTCTTGGTTTTAATCCTAATTACATGGCTTCATTTTGGTGTTGCATTGGCAATAGTTAAATACAGAAGCAAACTTAATTGCTTACTGGAAGGCTTTAAAGGAACGCAAATACTGGAGTAGAATGTGGCAGGCAAGCTAGTTAGGCTGAAGAAGTGTGCAGTAGGACCTTGATGTTATAGGCATGAGACAGCCATGGATTTAAAATGTAGCATAACTACCTCAGTAAGAGTAGTTGAAACTGTTAAGACTGTGTTCTTTTCAGGTGGGAACTTTCTTAGCTATAGTGAGAGTTTGTTGTGTCTAGCACAGTGAGTTTCAGGTCTGCGAAAGGAAGTTGTATAAGCTACTGGAGTGCAAGTATTTGAAAAGCATGGAGGTGTTTAGAGGATTTTGGTACCTGCAGATTGAGTAGTCAAGTCCTGTTCAAAAGCTGTCAAGATAGATTGATTTCTTGCCAATAATCCCTTTGGGGCTGAAGGTGCATTTAAGTGCATCATGTTGTAGACGTTTAAGATGAGCTACAACTGAAGCCTATGCATTTGTTCTCCTATCATTTTGTGTCTTAATTGTCTGCCCTTGTATTTTTTACCATGTCATTCTTTCTGCACTAAGATGTTAGATTACAGAGAATTTAGTAAAAGCTGTCTGCTTTCTGTAATGAAGTTAGAGGAAGGTGTGTGACTTACCATATGGTAAATATCACATGGAGTCATTTGGAGTCACATGTCACATTTGGAGTTTCCCTGAAAGAAATTTCCCTGTGGTGCTTCTACAAGCCTTGTTCTTGTGGGATTCTACTGAGCGGTGTATAAGCTGGCCTTCCTTCTATTGCATTCCTGCTGGCCGTTCCAAAGCGTAGTTTCACATCTTCTCTTCCCTCCTTGAAGTACTAATTCTTTTCTTTGCCTCTTCATCTCTTCTGTGGCTGCTTAACCTTAGTTAAACAAGTGATCTGGTTTCTATTTATTTTAATTAAAAGAAACAAACAACACAGCAGTGTTGGACTGATCAGATGTATGCTGGGAGAAGTATGCAGTGCTAGGCAGGGCAGAGCTTTCTGATCTTAACACCTTGGACTTCAATACTAGGTGACTTAGGACAAGTTGTTTGTCCTTCTATCCTTTCTCCCTCATGTAGAATATAGATGGTAGTGATCTGCTCTGCCAAGTATGTTGGCTGAGAGTTGAGCTGCAATAGAAAGGAAGATGTATTCATTTTGCTCTTCTGTTAGCAAGTTTCATAAGACTTAATGAAATTGCAGCAGATATTTTTAAGTCAAGCCTTACTATGTTAGAGTTTGAAAACATGACTCAGACTGCTAAAGGTTCATACCAGTTTTTCTTACAGCTACTACTGTGGTTTAATGCTGAATGTTGCTCCATGTGAAGCAGGGGGCAGAACACGATGTGTGGATCATGCTGTTGTGGATACTGCTGTATTCTGCTCTATTGGTTTGCAACTGGTAGTTAGTTTATACTAACATGCAAAACTGAGCCACATCAGCCAGAGCGGTAGATGTTTGTTCTCTTTTGCTGCCTCATGTACACATTGGAGCCTCTGAGAGAAGAATCATGTAGGTATTCATGGAAAGAAGCAGCTGCAGGTAGGCTTGCCAGAGGATGTTAGTCAGCAGTGTGATGTTTTTGGAAACTTTAGTACTAAGTGTGGGTAGGAATACTTGGCTTGTGGATGTAGGAATTTGATTTCAGGCTAATTGAATGTCTGTTTGGATGCTGGGGTTCCCATAACTCAAGATCCACTATATATGAATGAAGATTTTATCAACACAGACACAGCTTAATGTCATGTTCCTGATAGGACAATTTCAGCTGCTGAAAGCACAAACACACCTGTCTTTTCTTTGTATTTAGCTCACCTTGTTGAACTTAGTTGGCCTAGATCATTTAATGTTAATGTGTTTGAGATTTCCATTTGCAAGGTGGTTTGTTTTTTTTTTTTTGCCTGCTGTGAATACCCTAGCATAATCTGATAAAATAGACGAAAACAAGATCTAAATTGCTGCTTTCTGCAACCATGACTTAACAGGGATGCGTTTGAGCTTAAGTGCAGGTTGCCACTGTATCAGAGTTTAATTTTAGAACTGGCTGGAATATGCAACTCCCACTTTTAATAGATAAGTTAATGTGTGCTGCTCTTTTTGTCAGATGCAGACTTCAAACACAGCTCATCTGCACTCATCTGTTGTTAGGCATCTGTGTGCCAGCTATCTTAATTGTTAAATATCTTGTTTCAGTACGAGGATGTCGTCCTGGGAAGATTGTTCAGATGACAGAAGCAGAAGTTCGGGGCTTGTGCATAAAATCACGAGAAATATTTCTTAGCCAGCCTATTCTCCTGGAACTAGAGGCACCGCTGAAGATCTGTGGTATGTAAACTTAATGTGTGTATATATTTTGTAGGTGTGTTGATTCAGCTGCATGCTAACTGGAATGAAAGGAAAAGTTGAAGAAGATACTGAGATATGCAAATGACCTTGACTTGAGCTATACAGATTAGTGATTGAGGTCTTCTCAATCTCAAATGTCATTTTCAACTTAGATTGGATTAAGTCAAGAAAAGGCAGCTGATGTTTGCTCTTCCTGTTGTTTGGGAGCAGGTGCTGATGGCAGTAAGAGCTGCATGCACTCTTTTCTAGTGCAACCTGTCCCTTGTACTTTAAGGGCTGCTTGCACAGAGCTGCTACTGTTTGGATCATTATCTCAAAGTGTTCTTAAAAAGCATAAGAAGTAAATGGTTGCTTTTCTTGTTCCCTTCATAGCAGAAGCTAAAGAAAGATCTTTGTATAAGATGAAATGAGGTACTTTACTAGTCTCTGTTTGAAAATTGAAGAAAGCATTGTTAGTCTTTCAACTTAAAATCATGAATCAAAATTTCTTAATGTGTAAAGCATACCCCAAACTTTATATTAAGTATCATCAAATGCTATTATCAAATCTAAGTAAAACTGCATTCTTTACCAACCTAAGCCTTTAGAATATGCTAGACTCCTTCAAAAATGCAGTTAATAGACATGCATGTGTGTTTAACTGTTACTGAAGTATTGTAAATGTTAGCTTGTAATCATGCTTCAAGTTATTAACAGCAGACACATGCTTGAATTTGACTGCTTGAAGTACCATAGAATTAAAACTTTCTGGGAGAGCAATTGTAGTAATATGCCATACATTTAGAATATTAACAATTATTTAAGCACAAGCATAGCACTTATGGCAGAGTCACTCTTCAATGACTAATCTCTTGAGTATGGGGAAGGGAAGGAACAGGACCAGGTTGCCTAATGACATAAACTTGAAGGTAAAAATCTAGCTTATGACATTTTATTTATACTGTGATGTGAAAAAGACCAATGTCATCTAATTTCGAGATTGAAGAAAATTGGAATACTTGTATACAATCTTAATGTTAAGTTAAATCTGCAGAGTATAATTAGGCTCCTTCAAACTGAGTCAGTTTCTCATTTGTTTAAATCTAGACAGCTTAGAAGGCTCTTAGATGCAGAAAAGTAGGGGTAGCAAGTGCACAGTTACAGAAGAGATTTGTTGTTTTTAAACTACATGTTAAACAAAGTGATAGCATCCAGAAGTGTCAGGTATCTAAATTAAACATTAGAGAAATTGTCAAAGATGTATTTATTTAGAAGTGGAAGAGTGGTGATGGCTTTCACCAAAAGCACAACATGCTGCTGTACTCCTTTGAACTACTGTTTTAATGTGTTCAGGGTGTGCTTGAGAAATTTTTATAGAACTGTCTTTTTTAATCAGTTCAAAATAAGCTTTTACACCTTGAATGGCTGTGTTCTAACATAAGGTGGAAGATTTTCTTATGTAAATGTCTGTTTTAAAATAGCAATGGTTTTTACTCCGATATACTTCAACTTGTGTCCATATGAAGCTGTATTTTAAATTATCAAGTACATGCAATGGAATAATATTAAATGCTTTGGTCACTTCACAGAGTAGTTCCTACTAAATATTCCTTCATCCTTTATGTTCTTTAGCTCATGCATGTAACAAATTAGTTTCAGACAATGAACGTAAAGTATTTCCATAGTATATTTGTTTTGGTGATGAATACTTCAGATAGTGATGAAGTTTAGTGAGTATTAATTGAATAGTTCTGGAGTACTGGATGCCCCACCATGGGGACATGTTGATGAAACTCGTATGATTTCTGGTCTTGATTTCCTGTAGGAATTCTTGTAGTGTATGCATAAATGATTTTAGCTGGTAGAACTTCAGAGGGCCTGCAATTGGATAGTGGATAATGTTCATTATTAAAAGGAAAGTGGGATGTCAGTCCCCTTCTTGAGCAAGAAATAGTTGGAAGCATTGTCTGCCTAAAGAAGATCATATTGAGTTTCTCATGGAAAGATAAAGAGGAATAAAGCCTCAAGTCACTACTGGAGTACACAGTTCCACACAAGATGTGAAGGTCTTTTTGTTGGGTTTAAGATTCTGAAACAAATTTTAGGCATATGGGTGGAAATACCTTGTTTGTTAATTTTGCTGCTTTTCTGTAGTCATGGAAGCTAGTTCTCTACTGGAGTATTACTAGGTTTAATAAAGACAGGTATTTTGCCACAGAACAAACAGCACAGTTGAAAATGTATCCATGACATGCTTAGTGCAAGGATCAAGAGGTAATCTGTATTATCAGCATACAGCTTTTACTGAAGGTTTCTTAGTTATCGTTTTGCATTCAGTCACTTTGTTAAGGAGTTCTACAGTCAGCTGAAATATCACATCTACTGTACAAGTTACCGTAGAGCTTTGGTATCACCTTTGACCTTATGGGCAGCTCACAGATAATTTCTTCTGCTTAGTCTGATGTGATGTGCTGTGGTGTTTTAATTGCTGCACGGAGCTATTACTTGGAAAGCCGTCATAATTGTAAAACTGGCAGTGTGATGAGTAACATGGTTGTTACTGTTCCTAAGATACTTCTGCAGATCTGCGTATTGTGTAATGGCTATCAGTCTTTGAGTCTCTGTACTATTCACAATAAATAATTGCATCCAGGGGGTTGTCCGAAATGCTAGAGAATGGGAATCTTAGTACAGTGATGTTGTGGGAGAACAAGCAGTTGACTTTTGAAAGTGCTCACTGGCCAGCACAATGTTCAGTTTCTCTCCAGTGAATTCAGTACTGATTCTCCAGTGATTCAGTACTGATCTCTTTTTGCAGTAAGTCATGTGGCTTAATCCATTGGCTTCCCGATGGTGTGGCTGTTACATTAATGATTGTCTTTCTGACTTCATTTCTATATGACCAGACAAGAGTATGGTTAGCAAGCTTAGGCATAGTTTAAAGACTTCTTTAGCTTTGGTTTTTCAGCTTTTCATAGATTGTCCCAGCTGACTTAGCAGTTCTGTGAATAGTGAATTAGATGCATTTAGTAAGTGCTTGGTTTTATAGTGTAACATAGTAACACTATGTGACCCTGCACATAGCAGGGGGTTGAAACTAGATCATCACTGTGGTCCTTTTCAACCCAGGCCATTCTATGATTCTGCAACATAGTTTTCACTTCTCTGATACCTATTGTCAGTCTGTTTTTAAAGGAGAATGTTATTTTTTTCACCATCCCATAATAAGTAATTGATTTAAGCTTTTGATGTGTCCACTCTTTACATTGTTGCACTAATCCTTGGTAAACTTTTTTATTTAGGTGATATTCATGGTCAGTATACAGATTTGCTTCGACTATTTGAATATGGAGGATTTCCACCAGAAGCGAATTATCTTTTCCTTGGAGATTATGTAGACAGAGGCAAACAGTCTCTGGAAACAATTTGCCTACTTCTGGCATATAAAATCAAGTACCCAGAAAACTTCTTTCTCTTAAGAGGAAATCACGAGTGTGCTAGCATCAACCGGATCTACGGATTCTATGATGAATGTAAGTTAAACCTATTTCTTCTGAAAGCCTGATGTATATTCATACTGTGTTTTGGAAGTACTTATAGTAATGACTCATGATTCATATGCTGTAAGAATTTCAGTGTTCTGTGAACCTGCTTTGAAACTTTTTGGAAGTGCACATCAAAAGAAGGTTAAACTTTAAAATTATTTTCTATTCTGTTGTCCTTGAAATGGTACTGTAGGAGTCTAAGTGTACTCAGGTTTTAGAAATAAAGCTGTGAAGACAGCTTACATCCTTGATCAGGTTGTGATATATACTGTAGGCTGGTTTTAAGAAAATGGCCATCTTTTCCTCATCTCTCACACTGTTCTTCTAGGTAAACGGAGGTTTAACATTAAGCTTTGGAAGACCTTCACAGACTGCTTTAATTGTCTGCCTATTGCAGCCATTGTGGATGAGAAAATCTTCTGCTGTCATGGAGGTAAGTGGATGACTACTTCTAAAGGCTGTGTCTAACCTGTTCTTTGGATTAATATTATATCAAATTGAGTGGATGTGCATACTTCATTTTTAGCTGATGATGTATATTGTCTGCAAAGGTTATTGTTGTCTTGGATTTTTCTGTACATCTGGCAGCCGACAGATGTTACGCTTTCCAGTTATAAATGACCACTTGTTTCAGAAGGGCAAGTGCATCTAAGTATTCCTGTCAATACATATCCCTCTTTGGAGGATTCTGAACGTGAGAATTCATGCCTGATGTTTGCTTCATGACTTGTTGCCAAAGCTATTTGCTAATGCATAGCAGATACTGGAATCCCAAACTGTGAAGTGAAAGAAAAAGTCCACCCAGCTCTGTGGTCTTGGTCTCTTTAGCTGGTTCTGTAAGATGTTGGTGGAAGAGACCCCTGAGACCATATAGTCATAATGAAGTCTGATGCTTGAGTTTTGTCATTTGACATTGGATGCGATCAATCGTGGCTCCGTCTGACTCCGAAAAACATTGACTGTTGAAAAACATACATTCTGGGCACCTGTCCCATTGCTATACAATTTTTGTATTGAGGGGAAAAAAAAGTGTTTGGTTTTCAAGAAGGCTTTGACTTCTTCCCATACTGGGACTTACTCAGGCACTCTTTGTCAAAGGAAACACCCCATGTTTTTCTGAGCAGTGATGCTTAGAGGATTCTGGGACCTTGTAGAGCACTGTCGCAACAATTTAAACAATTGACAGTGCTTTCAAACTACTTCTGCAGTGGCAAGAACTATCCCACTGTTTTCCATCTATCTTTGCAACTACCTTCTTTACTTAGCAGCTTGATCCAGAATTGGTGTGGTGGTATCATATCTGCATTGCCAAGGAGGTGAATAGAAACTGTGAGAGCTCTGCAGAAACTTTGATTGAACAGCTCCACTAGGATTTAGAAATAATGTTTAACCAAAATTCCTGTGCACATTTTTCTGAACTGTGATAATGTATTGATGACTGCTGCCCTGCCTTTATTCAGGTTTCTCTACAAGGGTTCTACTTTATGGAATGATCCAGCCTGCACTTGTATCTTGTATTAACAGGTTTTGCCTTCAGTGCCTGCTGCTATAAGCTTACTTATCAGTCTTAAACATAACATGCTTTTAGGTGTTAGCTTTCCTTTGTAAATCCAAAACTAATACAGTGGTAGACAACTGAGTCTATAGCAGCATCCAGGTAACATTGATGTGTTAGGGGAATTACTTTTTTCTCCATTGAAGGGTGGGGGTCTTTTTTTTTTAACTGGTACTTGAGCTAAAAGTTGTAATTACAAGGAAGATTTCTAGGTTGCTCTGAAAGTAATGCCTCCTATTTATTCCCATGGAAACTACAGCAGATACAAAAAGCACAATGGCAGTACTTAATAGAGCAAATTTTCAGCTATGAAACACTGTTTTTCAGCACAGCACCATTAGCTACACATTTTTGCCAGAAGTGAACAAGAGCCTACATGCTGCACTTGTTTAAAATAAATAAAAACTTGCACCAGTGGAGGTGACCCAGTGTTGCACAGCAGCAACAATACTGTCATAGCAAAAAAAAAATGTTGCCTATGCATCTTTCATTGGCCCAAATGGATGGAAGTCTCAAGGTATCAAATCTGGGCTGCATAGTGGGTGCTGTAGGCACAGTCCAGCTGTGATTGTCAGTGTGCTCCACACTGTTGAAAATGAGATGGGGCCTGGCATGGTTGTGTTGCAAGAGGAAGTTTCTTCTCTCGCCTGACTCCAGAAGTTGGAGCCTTCGGTTTAGTCTACATTGTGATGCAGCAGAGTTTATGAGGCTTCTCCAGTTTCCAGGAAACCCAGGAGGGTCACCCCTTTCCTATTCTAAAAAAAAAAAAAGTGCACTTCACTTTACCTACTGAAAGCTGCATTTTGAACTTTTCTTTGATGGGGAATTCCTGTCACCACTCCATAGACTGCTGTTATGACTGTTTCTTGTAGTGGTGACACCACATCTTGTCACCAGTAATGACATGATCTGTGAAACTGTCACCTTCAGCCTAGTACTTGTTCAATAAATCCTGATGAATTTGTTCTTCCTGTTTACGTGAGAACATTCATGGGAGCCACCTGGTAAAAACTTTGCAGTGTTCTAATGTTCCCACCATAGTTTTCAATGCACTGAAGCCAGTATTCAGCTCTGTACGTATTTTCCCTCGCTGTAATCCACCAATTCACGTGGATGAGCTGATCTAGGTACTCATTTTTGTGGTATGACAAAATGCTGTGCATGGCTGTCTGGAACACGTCTTTCATGGCACTGTTGCCACTGATGAAACACCACTCGTTGCTTCTCTGTGTTAACCTCCACTGTTTCGTCTCCATGAATGTTCAGGAAATGTCAGTGGGTGCCCTTTATATCGTATGGAAGAATTCAGTGACACACCTTTGCTTCATGTGTGAAATCGACTGCGTACACTGTCAAGAAGCTTGCAGATGCCATGAAACTGAGTGGTACAGTTGACACACTAGAGGAAGGGGATGCCATTCAAAGAGATCTGGGCAGGCTTGAGAGGTGGGCCCATGCCAACTGCATGAAGTTCAACAAGGTCAAGTGCAAGGTCCTGCACCTAGGTCGAGGCAATTGCGAGCACAAATAGAGGTTGGGTGGAGAATGGCTTGCGAGCAGCCCTGAGGAGAGAAGGGTTTGGGAGTGTCAGTTGATGAAAGATTTAATGAGTCAGCAACATATGCTTGAAGCCCAGAAGACCAACTGTGTTCTGGCATCAAGAGAAGAATGAACAGCAGATTGAAGGAATTGATTCTGCCCCTCTACTCTGCTCTCCTGAGATCCTACCTGCAGTACTGTGTCTAGTTCTGGGGCCCTCAACAGACAAAGGACTGGGCGCTGTTAGAGCAGGTCTGGAATAGGACCACAAAGATGATCAGAAGGCTAGAGCACCTACCCTATGAAGGCAAGTTGAGAAAGCTGGGGCTCTTCAGCCTCGAGGAGAGAAGGCTCTGAGGGGATCTTAGAGCAGGCTCTGCCTGGTACTTGAAGGGGGCCTGCAGGAAAGCTGGGGACAGATGACTTCTAAGGGCATGTAAGTGACTGGACAAGGGGAAATAGCTTTAAACTGAAAGAGGGTCGATTTATCTGAGATAGTAAGAAGAAATTCTTTACTGTGAGGGGGGTGAGACACTGGAACAGGTTACCCAGAGAGGTTGTAGATGCCCCTCTCCTTCCCCCCCCTCAAAAAAAAAAAAAGTATTCAAGGCCAGGCTGGTTGGGGCTGTGAGCAGCCTGGTCTAGTGGGAGGTGCCCCTGCCTATTGCGGGAGGGTTGGAACTAGGTGATCTTAAGGGTCCATTAGAATTCAAACCATTTTATGCAATTCTGTATGATGTGCCACTTTGTCATATTGCCGCTCTGCTGACATATGTCATATGGCAACAAAATGTAATATTGATGGGAATGTTCAACCTCTACTGCCGTATCACCAATGTCTGCCTCTTAGATCATAGGCCAACATAATAAAATAAGGAGGCGTAGCTTTTAGAGCAGCCCTTGTACAAAATCTCTTATGCACTGAGGAAGCCATCGTAAGTCATACTTTTTTGGAATCTATTTCTTTACTATCCGTGTACTTTATTTTATTTTGGAGCAGGAGAAAAAAAGGGTGATAAAATATTGAGATGTTTCAGGTGAGTAATTAAGCTTAGATGGTAGAAAGTCACTAAGGATACTCAGCAAGTCAAGTAGAATACTGTATTCTATGATGAAGCTGCATATACACACAGAGTATCAGACTTGAATTATGAACAAGAAGCCTAGCAAGTTATTATCAAGAAAAAGAAATACTGGTATGCTGAGGGTGGTTCACTGTTTCTTTTAGGAAGCTGGAAAATCTGTTACGTATATGCTTTAAGGATCCCCTTATTCAATAAACAGTAAATACTGTTTTCATATTAATTGTCCTTAAACTTGTACAGGTTTCATCTGTACCTGAAATACTGAATACTGTCAATCACAACTAATCTGTGAAATGAAGTGAACAGCTCATGAAATGTGCTATGTGCTCCTAATAAATGAAAGTGGACATTCAGCACTTTAGCTTTGCCCTTTTTCCTCTCTCTTCCAACCCTGTCCAAGCTACATTCCAGATTCCCCAAAGTCATGGACTGTCAACGCCTTTTCATGATGTTACTACTGTAGTAAACATTGAGTCAACAACAGTAACTCTGCTGGAGGTTGAAGCTAACTGGTAGATATAAGGTAGGTGCCTTTTTTTACTATATTGCGCATTTTTGCACAGTTTATTTAAAAAATATTGTCCTATGGGATATAATAAAACTTTGCAAAACCGCATAACATAGTAAATAAAGGCATCTAATTTATCCCAATAGACTTCTACAATAGTTTGAAATCCTAAGTCAGCTGTTTCTCCTAGACATCACAATGTAATCAAACCTTTCCTGCCATTCCTGTCTCCAGATGTTCTTGCTTTCTAAGGATCTTTCCAAGTATTCTTTCAGCTTGCCTCCTTTTTCCCTCTAGGTTGAAACTTTCTTGTCTTTCTATTTAGTGTTTTATCTTTATTTTTCAAAGCTGTCCTCACTTCTGACACAAAGCTTATTTCTGACTTTGATCCTCATCTCACTTTGTTAAAGCTCATTCCATAACCATTCCCAGCTTCTCCCTTTTACTCTGCTTTGTGTGATATACGGTATTGTTGTCTTTGACACCATATTCTAGTTCCAATCTTTGGAACGTGTTTGTGATTGTATCCTTTTGTGATAACAGCCTATGCTGTAGTTTCATGTAGTTGACTGAATACATTTGTCTAACCATTTAAGCTCTAAGATGTTACTCATGTCAGTTTAGTAGATAGACGTAAGATTATACAATAGATGAGACCGTGACATTACTGACATGATGAGAGGAGCCTTGATTCTCATATGTAGTATCCAAAGAGCAGAGGAGCTTTCTGGGTTATTGTGTGAAAGTGTGTAACAATCAGTCTTACCTTACTAGCTCTACCTGATGTATAGTTTTAAATCTGTGGCCTGGATGATGAGTCTGCCATGAGTAATAACTCGCTTCTGTTTTCCATTAGGAAAGGTGTGCTCTTACACCTCAAGAAGACTATGCTGAATGCTTATCTGTCATTGTGACAGGACAGCCTAATTCAGTTGTGTTTATTTACAATACATGGTTTGTAGCAATCACTGTAGAAGCAGCGGCTTGACCTGAGTTTCAGCAACCTGTTTGCCTTCGCAATTCCTTCATTTGATGGTGATCATGCACAATTTTTGTGTATAGATGTGAATTTCAGGCATGAGCTATTCATGTTTGTGCAAAGGAAATATTTGGTGACAAACGGCCTCTTGATAAATTATGAAGAGGTCTACAAACATTCAGGTAGTTTCTTGGGTTTTTGGGATTTTACAGCAATGTAAAATAATGCAGAACTTAACAGCTACAAGGTTGAGACATGACTTAGAATTTTTCTTTTGAAAAACTTCCATGTTTTGGGTGTAACCTGAGATGCTTGGAGCTGTAATACCGAAGAAGGCCGCAAACTGGCTGTACTTAGCTGAGATTGCCCATTACTATCTCAGGGTGTGGTGGCGCCTGGAACCCACACACCTTTGTGCTAATGTAATCTACATGCAAATGGATCAGATTTGGGGAGGAAGAAGTGGGTCAAAGTTTAAAAGCTGATTGTCGATTTGAATTTTTCTCCCTATATTGTTTTGTAATAGACTAAAACTCCTTTGATATGCTATCTAACGTAAGATTTTCTGCCATCCTTCACAATCTCAAGGGTATTATCATGAAGATGCTTTGGCAAGATGATGTGGATAAAAGGCTTTTATGAGAGACCACTTCAATAAAAACAATCTAAAATTTTAATACTGGAAAAGTTTCTCAAATCCTTCCTTACATCAGATGTGTTGAAGTCACTGTTCATCCAATGCATCCATTGCTATTGTCCTATCCTAGATGTCAGCTGAGATTATTTTATGTAGTGATTCCTTTCCAGTGACAGATTTCTTGTTATGCTTAAAATTCTGGACTGAGTGAAATGGGTATGACTTGCTAGTATAAATAATGTTTTATCGTATGTCAGAACTAAATGCTCTTTCCAAATTTGTGGCTTCCTTAACGAGGCGGTCTTAGCCTAAGTGATATAAATATTTCACTCACTTCAGAACCTTTAGTTAATGTCATCTTAAGACACCAGTGCGTCCATCCATTTTTTATGCCTGTATGCCTTAAGTAAAAACAATTCTGGAGGGAGCATGTACCTGAAGAGTTCAGAGCAACTTGGTAACCCCATCGTTTGCTGCAATTAAATATTAATATGGCGAAACTATACAAAAAGAGGTGTGTTCTTTGTGATCAGTGACTTGAATAATCAACACTGTGGTTTTATGAATGACTAAGCAGCTGAGCTGTAGTAGATTACTACCTTTTGTGCTTGTGATTTATTGCAGTTGCAAAATCTATTATTCATTTACAGCATCCAGTGGCTGTAGCTCAACTGATGCAATCACAGAACGGTTTGGATTGGAAGGAACCTTTTAGATCATGTAGTTCCAACTCCCCAGCTGTAGGCAGGGGCACCTGTCACTAGACAGGTTGCTCACAGCCCCATCTCGCATGGCCTTGGCCACCTCCAGGGAGAGGGCATCTGCAACCTTGCTGAGCAGCCCGTTTCAGTGTCTCACCACCCTCACAAGAAAGAATTTCTTCCTACTACCTAGGATAAATCTACCCTCTTTCAGTTTAAAGCAATTTCTCCTTATCCTGTCACTACATGCCCTTAGAAGTCCCTCCTAGCTTTCCTGTAGGCCCCTTTCAGGTACTGGAAGGCTGCTACAAGGTCCCCCCAGTGCCTTCTCTAGGCTGAAGAGCCCCAGCTCTCTGTCTGCCCTCGCAGGGGAGGTGCTTCAGCCTTCAGTGTGTGGTAACATTTTGAAATAGTGTTGTCAGTTGTGTACGATGTAAGTCATACCTGCTGGCTGCTTTTCCTTATGGTGTTTGAAAGCTGGATGTGTTACACTTCTGTTTAGCTTTTTGAAAGTAAATTGGTGGCACAGATCTGCATTTGTTTTAGTTGTGTAAGATAATGGGAAAACTGTCCTTCAGTGATTTTCTTTCTAATGGGCTATTGAAGTGAATGTACTTACCTGTAGAATTCTGTGTATGGCTGAAATCACAGTAGGAAAACAATTGAAGCACCTCACTAATTTCACTTGTGTTACTGTGTTCTTCTGTTTGGGAGCCTAATGGTCTTACTGAGAACTGTCTTTTGTTTATATTGCAATGGAAGCAATGGGTGATCTGTCTTTAAACCTGTTTGTTCTCTAGAATCCTTTCTAACAGGTAAAATGTATATAAATCACTTGGATTTTTTTTCTACTTACAGGACTGTCTCCAGATCTCCAGTCAATGGAGCAGATCCGGAGAATTATGAGACCTACAGACGTTCCTGACACAGGTGAGTGGCATGGAGTTCACTATAAATGGGCATTTGAGATGAAGTAGGTTTAATCAATTTCTGTACAGGCAGTGCAGTGGCTGAAGTCATTAACTCTGTTTCACTACAGTATTGCATTATTTCTATGCAGAGCATGAATCTTGCTCCTTGTGATGACTCAGTTAACTGATACTGTTAGAAGTTACTGCCCACATTGTTATTGCTTATCATAACAAACTATCCACGCCTGCCCTAATACAAACTTAGATGATCAAATAACTAAACAGCTCATTCTTTTTCTTGCCTTGACTGGACACACCCAAACTCTTTAATGTATCAACATAACTGTTTAAAGGTTGCAGACTATTATTTGAAATGTTTGAGCCTCTCTGTACCTGAGCCCAGTAGTAACATGTCTTCTTCCCCGTCAAATTTGTAGGGTCTCCTTCTTCAACTTCACTGTCATTGGAATTACATTGCTTGTGTCATTGGGTAGTCTTGAAACTTTCTTTTGCTAATAGATTATATTTTGCTTATAGATAGTGAATGCAAATTGCCGTTGCTTTCTGTACAGTGCTCTTTTGAATGGTATTAAGCATCCTCTTTAGTGTCCCATTTATTCCAGATTTATTACTAGAGGATTGAAAAAGCTGTCAAGCAGTACAGTGAGATTTTACGTTGTTTTCAACAATAGCCTGAAGTTAACTTTGGGGAAATACCATGTTCAAAGCTTTTCTTTTTTTTTTCTTCGTTGTTTGAAACAATGTTATAGTTAAGCCTTGGAAAAGAAAAATTCTACTTCCTATAATGTCTTCAGTGCTGATGCATGGGAGTAATCCAGGGTCTGATTTTAATCCGTCTACTGTACCTCGATCAACTACACTTCTATGCACGATGGTCTATGCACACTTGAAACAGATGCGTTACTAGACTGGTAAATGAGTGTTTCTGTAGTATAAATGGTACTTGAAGTTCTTCCTCTTATGCTATTTATAATTCACTCCATATCAACATAAATACCATTATAGATGAGTCAAACTTTACATTTATCGGAGCTTTCAGAAAAGGTAGTTTTATTCAACAGGCTGATGCTACTGCTTGAGTCACCCCCACTTCAGGAATGCCCTTGCCCTTGTAGTTCCAGTTTCCATGGACACTCATCTAAAGTGATGTATTCTTAGTACCTCCTAAAAATAAGCATAGGGAGTTTAAAGGAAAAAGGAAAAGGGGGGTGTGGGAGGAGCTATGAAGTTTTTGATCCACTGATTTGCTGTCTTCATTTGGTTTTCAGAAGCAGACAGATGTTTTCCAATAGAGCAGTGACACTGAAGGATTTGTTCTTTTAGGCCTACTGATGGCAGCCATTATATATGACTGAACAGAAACAAATCTTGCAGAAAGTAAACTGAAGCAGTCTCACCATGAAAGTTGAGGTCCTTGAAAGCTGTTTGTAGAGGGATGGCTGACATTGATGCAGAAATTGTTAGACATTCTTGTGGCTTGTGCTGATAAGATTAGATCATTACAATGGCTTCTTCTAGTCTGATAAAAAAAAAAAAGCCATTCCAACATCAACTGCAGTTTAAGGACCTTTTATTTTCATGGCTTTTTCATGGTGTTTAGAAGCTACTTACCCAAATTTAACTTCTTACAGTGACTTAAATCAGTTGCCTGCAAGAGTACTACTTAGCCCTCACAAAATATTTAGGTATATATATATTTATTTATTTTGGTTATCATTGCTGACTATTCGCATACTGGGAATCTGTTGCTCCCTCTTTTGTGTAATCTTGAATATCTCATGTCTACTATGTTACATTCTCCCAGTCAGCCTAAGCTATTGTAATGGTAGGTGTTGCTCATTAAAAATAAACTCATCTGACTGGCATAGTTCAGTTGTATATGTGAGACTAACTTTTTGCAGCGTTCTGTTATAGAGCTATTAAAGGTTATAGGACAGATTTGTATTTTTTGTGTGTGACTCTAAAGATTATTTGGTAGCTTGGTGGAGCAGTAGAAGAGGAAATACTTCTAAGTAGTTCAGATAGGCACTTCTGTCACAGGCAGCTTCTGCCACCTGCTAAGAAAACAGTAGGTGCTGCAGTGAAACTTCAAAAATATATTCAGCATAGGACTAAATTTCAGTAAAATTATTTTAAAATGCAGTCTATTCAGCAGATTGCTTTGAGGTAGATACCTGATTTAAAAAGTAGATGTGCATACTCAGATTTGTCTTCTAAAAGCAAAGTGCTGGTCTCTGTTAGAGACATCTCTGTGTTGCCGAAGACCACGTATAGCTGTATATAAAAATAAAATAGTAGCACATTGAATTTCTGTCGATAGCTATGCTTAAATATAGCTTGCAGATCTTGCTTTGTAAAGAATGTCTTCAATATTTTGTGTAGCTTAAAACTTGGCTTAATCGGAAATCAAATTTTGAACTCTTGGTAGCAAAGTCAGCTGACTCCTCCTTTTGGTTGTGAAACAGTGCACTTAAGTACTTATATACTTAAGGGTTGATCACCAGAGGCAGAGAGAGTACAGTTTCATGTCAACTGAGATAAAGTTTGAATGCTTTTTGGTTTGTTTGTATTGCTGCTTATTGGCCTGAGGCATTGCAACTGGACTAAAGGATCATCTTTAGTATAAAATTTAACTCCAGTTTTAGTTGACTTCTTGTAGTAGCTGGAAAAAGGCAATCACCAATGTTGAAATAATAAAGATTAAATTACTTGAATTTAGGTTCCAAACTGTTTGGCATGAGACTTCTTAAAAAAAATCATGGTAGTTCAACCATGCTGAAAATGAAATTAAATTTTGATTTAGTCAGTCAAGGTTCTTCATGTGTGGTAAGAAACATTTCATGTTCAGAAGTTTCTGGTACAAATTTCTGTTGGTTTTCTGATTGGTCCTGCATAGGATTCCATAGTTCAGTGTGGCTTTCAAACTCAGCTGCTTGGCAAGCTGTGAAATTGATGATTGCCTTTGAAAATGTGCTGCACTGCATTGTTTTTTAAATTCCTCAAATGCTCTGTGTAAATATGCTGACTATTACAAGTAAATATTATGTCAGAGTTGTTTGGTTTTGATTTGTTTCATCTCAAGGTATCATCATTTTTAAAGGAAAAAAATCTTGCCATATTCTCCAGACTTAGGCAGACTGTCTTGCCTGAATCAAAATTCAGATATTGCTGAATTTGTTGCTAGAATGTGTTTCGTTTTCTAGGGAAGCTGCTCTGGCGACTACAGTAAATCCATTTTACTTGTAAATCCACTTTTACTTGTATTTGACCTCTTAAGACTAACATCTTCACTTGCATTATTTTTCAAAGGCTTACTATGTGACCTGCTGTGGTCTGACCCAGACAAAGATGTGCAAGGTTGGGGTGAAAATGATCGTGGGGTCTCTTTCACTTTTGGTGCTGATGTGGTCAGTAAATTTCTGAATCGTCATGATTTGGATTTGATCTGTCGAGCTCACCAGGTAATGAATGAACCTTATTACTGCTTAAAACTTCTCCTAGACTATATGCATTTTTGGTATTGGTTATCTGTAGCATGTATTTAAAACTTATTTTGTATTGCTTTACTTCGAGGAAAAACAAAAAGGAACTGTAAATCTGCATCTTGTTTACTCACTGAACTGAGTATCTCATGTCAAATAAAATGTTAACATTAGATTTCCTCAGATCTGTGTATCATCTGTTTACTGTTAAACTATTGTATGTTAATACTAGAGGAGAAATATGTAGTTTAAAAGAATGGCACTGAAGTTTGAGTTCTGTATTACTGAATATTATTTCAGTATTATGTGGCTTAAGCCACAGCTACTAGATAACTATCTCTGCTTGTCTTTGTGAAGGTATTTAGTAATTCTTGAAAGTTTCTACAAACAGGTCTGAACATAAACTTTGCCTTTAATTTAGTTATTGGCATAGGCTTGTTTTACTTGCTGAAATACACAGAAAACAAAACTGGTTTAGGCATGGACAATCTTTAGGCATATTTGTTTGCAATTTTTATGAAGTGATTTTAAGCAGATGTCCTGCTTAAGTGGGCATCAAGTTTCAATTTTGTGTGTAATGTTCCAGTTTTATTATTTAGTTGATCTTAAAAGCTCTGGCATCCTGTGAAGGAAAAATAGTTTTTTAATTTTGTTATAGTTAAACTCAGATGCTCTCTCAGAACACTTGCATTCTTAGGATTTTACTGCTAAAAACACTAGAAAATGTTAGTGTGTAGAACAGTTGCTAAGATGTCTCAACTGCCTAATGATTACCGTTAGTATCTTTGTATTCATACAGATGCTTCAGCTCCTTATAAAAGTATGACATCTTTCAAAAGACTGTGGCAGTACGACTGAAGTCTGCAGTTTTCTGTTGTGTATCACTTTCAGTCTGTTATGTTAGGGTTCTGTTTTGGGGAAGAGGGAGTACCCTTAGCTGATATATTGTGCTACTTTGCAGTATTTTAAGAGTGTATTGTGCTCTTTGAGAAAGCGCAGCAGAACCAGCTTGCTTTTAAACCATCAAAGTTGTCAAAAGCCTATACTTGGCTACTCTAAAGTTTTGTAGGACCATCACTATACTTTAAGTGAAACTTCATGATTACAGTTGCAGTTAAGATGATATGTGGGCCTTTTGTGCTCTGAACTAGTAGTTCAAATGTATCCAAGTTTGCATATAAACAAAACACTGCAAATCCTTAAACTGACAGTGTATAACTGACTTCCAAGTACAATGATATCAACAGTGAAACTGATGCATATCTAATATTAGGATTGTCAGACAGTTAAATCTACTTGATTTGGCGTTCACTGTTCAGATAGACTGAATCTGTCCTCTTTAAAGACAAAGATAAAATACTTCTTTTCTGAATTCTTGTGTCTTTAGTAGAAGCACTGTTTGCCTTAAAACTAGCCTTTTTCTTCAAAGTGTATCTTTTAGTTTCTGTGGGCTGTATTAATTTCTCTGATGTTGACAGGTGGTTGAAGATGGATATGAATTCTTTGCAAAACGGCAGTTGGTCACCCTATTCTCAGCTCCAAATTATTGTGGAGAGTTTGACAATGCAGGTGGCATGATGAGTGTGGATGAAACTCTGATGTGTTCCTTTCAGGTACGATGCATTTGTACACTAGGTGTTCCTTTAAGTGTTGGACTGTGTATGAGGTGTTAGTATTTGTTGTTGCCTCTGTTTCCATGTTCATTTCAATGTTATTTGAGTAATTTGTTTATCATCCACAGCTAGGTGGATGGCACTCATTTAGTGCGGTAATTCCGCTCGAGTTTTATTCCTTACTCCTCTTTGGATGCAGTATTTTGAGCTCCTTTTCTTTCCTCCCTTCCACCACAGTAAAATTGTGGAACTAGAGGTTAGAAACAGTTTTCTTAGTGCTGTTGTCTGTAGGATTCAGGAACTTGTACGGTCGTGTTGTGATTTCTAGTCCTTCCCCACCCTGTTATTTCTGAATGAGACCTCATGTTGACTTAAGGGTATTTGAAATGTTCTCAGCTGTCACTGACTCAAAAGAACTTCTTTATTTTCTCTAAGATATTGAAGCCATCTGAAAAGAAAGCCAAGTACCAGTATGGTGGACTGAATTCTGGGCGTCCAGTCACTCCACCTCGCACAGCTAATCCACCGAAGAAGAGGTGAAGAAAGGAATAATGTAGAAAAACCATCAGATCTGTCAAGGACAAAACTCCATATTACAGTATATAATAAGTGTGCACTGTAAAACCATCCAGCCATTTGACACCCTTTATGATGTCACACGTTTAACTTAAAGAGACGGGTAAAGGATCTTTATTAATTTTTCTAGTAGAAAGATGTGCGACACTGTATTGTAACAAGTATAGCTCCAACTTCTAATATCCAGCATAGAGTAAAAAATAAAATAAAAAATTAAAAAACCTATTGCAACTGCATATTCACACTTACCACAGTTTTTAAAGTTGACCAACATCCCAGTTAAAACTTGATGTAATAGTTAAACCAGATGAGAGCATGATGTTCCATTTGTGTAATGTGGTCTTATTGTTGCTTGATTGCTTTTACTTTGGTTATTTTGTAGCTAGAATGATGCGAATATGGTATCTGGTCATGTTCCCTGGCTCTCTTTGAAATTGGATCTTCTAATTCCCTTCCATATTTCATTGATCTCTTATCCTCCCTCTGTCCTCATGTTATTCATAGTAATGCCGCTCAAATTTGTGCCCCATTATAATGCAAAGTTGATAATATGGTAGTGATTAAAAGGCAAATTGTTACCGACATGCCCAGACTGGACAGCTTGACAGCCAACGTAAATTGAGATAGGAAAACCTGCCTTGACTTTTTAACTTAAACTGCCACACAATTAATTTGTACACTACACTATTTTAAATTATTGACATTACACTGTGCTATGGCACATCATTTAACTTAGGACAAAAATGGTATTGCCTATTAGTTGGTAACTTGATTATGTGGTACCTTGGCTTTAGTTTTATTAGCATGAAACACCTTTGGCATGCTTAGCTTCCAGGTAACTGGTAACTCCCTACCTGTATCAGAATTCATTTTACGTAGTTCCACAGAACATGAAGATCCTTATTTGCTAAGCCTTTGAAAGCTGACATTCTTTTTCATAAGGGGGTGTATTTAAATGGATGTTCACCAATGGACAATAGGCCAGCTTACTAGTGGTGAGCTAAAACTGCTAAATGAATGTCCAACATGATTGTAAGGCTTATGTCACTCAAGATTTTATCCTTTGGATTTTCATGATCAAATTTCATATACTATTGTATAGACTTCTGCTTTGTAGTGTACTATAGTAGCAATAATTTCTGTACATGATTGAGAGTTATGCAGTATTTCTTTTCAGTTCTCTCCTTTCTCAAAGGGGTAAACATTGGTAAATGGCAAGATATAGAAAAGATACAAAGTATAGTGGGATAAACGAAAGGCTAAGATCTGTGATGCTTTAGGATGCAATACTTATTGGATATAAACAAAAGCTTTTACTGAATATTGTTGAATTTGTAAGATTCTTTGGGGGAAGGCTTCAGATTTATACCATTCTAAGTGTGCATCAGTAGATGTGAAAATCTCGACTTCAGTATTGTCTTTGAAAACGTTAAATTGAGAATTCTGGTAACTTGCATTTTATGAACTGGCACATTATATAATGCAAGAGTTATATTGCTTTCTGACACAGTGAGCAAGTTCTTCAAAATGGATTTAAGTCTTTTCTAATTCCATTTTTGTTTTAAATGCATATTTTAAATGTAGTTTTTTCATTTAGTAAAAGTTGTCTAATTCATTTGAATGAAGTCTGTCTGGTTATTTTACTACTATTTACTCTTAAGTGTGGAATTTGTCTTTTTAATGCAGCATATACATTGTTGATGTATATTGGATTGGTCTGTTTTTGAACAGTGGTTTAAGTTACCATGTCTTGAAGCAAGCACCAGTTTAATGCAGTATAAAATGTAGAGGTAGATTACATGCAATACTGCACAGACACTTCTTTTGAAAGTCCAATGATGACAGGAGAGTGAGTGCAGTGTTGGTGTGTGATGAGGTAATTGAAATCTGTTTTTTAAGCCTTGATGAGGTAACTTCATGCTCTGAAGTCATTGCTTACTTGAGATTTAGGTTTACATGTTTTGAAAATGCTGTTTTTTGCAAGCATTCTTCCAGAACGTTACCCATCAACGGAATTAACTTTTCTGTCTTTTTCCTTAGTTTCTGGAATAATATCTTCTGTATAATGAAAAGATTAGCCATATATGGCTCCATTTATGTGAGTACCTGACATGCTCACTTGTTCCTTTTGCAGCAGCATCTGTGCTGTATAATTTTTTTCTTAAGTATCCTAAAGAAATAAGAAATACTTAGTTTGTTAAACTGTTACCATATCTAGGGGTATTATCCTGAAAGAACTGTTTGCTTTATATGGTAGCAATCACTGGCCAAGAGTTTGAGTGCTTTTTCCACACCAAATGCCTGGGATGTCTGCTGACATCTTTCAATCTGTGTGGAGAGAAAACTTATGGGATATAATATGTTGATCACTGCAGATAGCACTGAGGTTTCCATACTGGAAACAAGTCAGGAACATCAGAACAAAACTTACAATACTATTTCTGCTTTCGTGTGCATCGTTCATGTAGATATTGTGTATTTTTACAACTGTCTATTCTGGAAATGGGGGCCTGAAACTATGTTCATTGAAATAATTGAGACAGCCCAGAAGCCAGGAGCTCTTTATAACTCCAGATGTTTAATTTGATCATGTCAAATCAGCAACTAAGAACAACATACGCAGTTCTTCCTGGAATTAAGATGTGATGTAAGATGTGACTGGCAGGTTTGACTTAAAATACCACAACTGGTTGACTTCAAGGTATAGCAGTGATATTTTGAAACAGTAGCTGTGCCAGTTTCTGCTCTTTGAAAGTGTCAAAGATCTGGGGGGCTTGAGTTTCAAGAGATAGACAATGCTGGACAAAAATGGATCTTAGTCACTTCTGTAATCCCTTTGAAAGTCCAAAAAAGTGATGAGTGGCTTATTAATGCTACATAATACTGACACTCTAGTAGTGTATATACTAATGAGTAAACTAATAGTATAATTCTGGTTACAGGGAAGAGTGTATAATGGAAAACACTGATGCTGTGATAGTGGTGGTACATGTAAACAGCTCATGAAAATGCTTTTTACTGTCAACTGTCATGAAGTATCAGTGAGATCTTGTTTTCTGATCATATGGAGCCTTTCAGGTATAGAACAGTCAGCAAGTTGTGCCAGAAGGGAACTGACCAGAAAGCTGGGGGTGAGAGCGAAGGGTGCTGATGACCGACACAGCCCATTCCTTGGGCAGCATTCCAGCACCCACACCAGTTGCTGCAAGAACACTGACAGTGTTTTTAAAGTTTCTTCAGGGTGAAATGAGTATTGCTCATAAATTCAAGAGTTTGGTACAGTGAAATGCTTTTTAAAGATCGATGTTTTCAGAAATAGAGGCTACAATTGCTTTGTCTGCAAGCTAGAGAAACAATCTTGTGCCTTCAGTGGGAGCTTCTCTTGCATGAATATTCTCTAGGGTATAGAGCAAAGGTAGTTGGGATCATTGAACTGGGAGAGAAGTAATAAATTTCCCTGCTGTCTGCAACATTTGATTACCTTGATCAATGTCCAGGAGACTCAGACTGCCCTAACAATGTGGATTCAAAAAAGGAATTCCATGGAAATTGCTGATGGACTAATTGCTGGTCGTCTTCTTCCACGTAAGCATATGTACAGTTTTAACATGCTGCTAAGTAGTGCAGCATCAGTGATCCGGGAAATTACAGGAGGATGTTCTCTTACTAGGTATATTTGTAGTATCAGTGCATTGACTTTTTTTCGTATTTTTCTGGAAAGCTATGTCTGGAAAGTCTTCAGACTTGAGGAAGGAAGTTACTGCTAGTATGCTACACCCCTGTTTAAAGGTTGTTTTAAAATAAAGATCCTGCTTGTCTATGTAGTTGACACTGAGAATTGCTAGGGACTGTGGAGTCATATGCTGTATTACTGCCAAATAATAGAACTGGGAGCTGATGAGCAATAAGATGCTCTTTATAAGAAAGATCCTGTTTGTGGCTTACCTTATAAGTCTGTGAGAGTATTGCTATCACAGTATCACAGAACGGCCTGGGTTGGAAGGGACCTCAAGGATTATGAATCTCCAACATCCCCTGCCACAGGCAGGGCCACCAGCCTCCACATCTAATACTAGACCAGGCTGCTCAGGGCCCCATCCAACTGTGTAAGCTGTGAACTGAAATTACTGGAGCCAGTAGGTATCTAAAGGCTGACAGACACATTTTTATTTCTGTAATAATGGAAATATATTTAAATGATGTTTCTGCTACTCAGTTTTGGATAGCTGGAATTCTAGAAAATGTATATTCTGAACACGAACATCCTGTGCTTGGCCTTTGGTGTAAAGCTCAAAGGTTAAAAAAAGGGTACCCTCTGTAGAGGCTTACATAGCTGGTGGTTGTAAAAGCCTGGCCTTTATACTGATGTTTCATTTCTATTTCACGAACGGTTAGTATTGTATCTGTGGCTGTTATGTCTGGAGTGTTCCTTGCTTCAGGTTTGTGGAAGAGAAAGACATCTTATATAGACTTGGTAGGTAGCATTACACCTTAGCAAAGCACAGAAGCAAAATGATACGGTCAGTATTGTGTTGCTTTCAAATCACATGAATTGTAATTTGACTTGTGATTGGCATGTGTGATTTTTATGAGGACAAATACGAGCATTTGGCTTCAAATAGACTGATGAGAAATCAAGGGCAAGAGAGCAGAGGTGACTACAGCACAACATGTTGGATGTCTGAGTCAACATGGACTAATAGGCATTACGGGGATGTATAGTTCTCTAATGCAAATCAGAATTGAGCTGAAGTTCACATTTTGGAGCACACTGAAATTCTACTTTTTGCATCTCTGAAGAATCCAGACTGTTAGAAGAACTGAATACTGTACTCAGTCCTGCTTATCAATAGGGAAAAAAAAACAGCTCAAAGAATTAATGCCAAGCTTGAAATGTCAAGGCATGGTCCTGGATACCTTTTTCTCTGCTGTAATCAGTTTGCTTCTGTTAATTAGCAGTAGCAATTTTCAAACATACCCTCAGTGTACTTATAAACTGATTTTGTTTGCTTTATTGCAAAAGCTGACCAAGATTTTGATGACAGTTTCTTAAGCAGGTGGCTGCATGTATAACTTCTGAGTTTATACCCAAGCATTCTTACA